GGGGGGGGGGGTCCTGCTCACCGTGTAATACTTCAGCTTGCGGTTGTGCATGTGGATGATGTTGGTACAAATGCCGTTCAGGAAGTCTTGAGAGTGGGAAATCAGCACCAAGATGCGCTTGAACCTGCAGCATCACACAGAGTTGTAAGAGGCTGGGGAGAACAAGACCCCCCCAGGGCAGCCCCATAAGCAGCCGGGACATACCGCAGGTCCCCTTCTTGCACCAACCACCCAGACAGTGGCATGAGCAGCACTACAGAGGCTTCTGGGAAAGCAGCTGGAGCCAGACATGAACTACTCCATACGATCAAACAAGGCTCCTGTGCCACAGCCCCCTTCCCTCCATGACCAGTGTTATTTAGCCTCTGGGGCACAGGGTAGGACCAGCTGCCTGAAGGAATTTGTCCCTGGTAGCACCTGCCACCCCTGGGCTGAGGCAGGAGGCCCCCAGAGGTATAAGGCACAGCGTCCACCCCCCGCCATACTCACGTTTTCAGCTCCTCCTCCAGCCAGACGCAGGCATCCAGATCCAGGTGGTTCGTGGGCTCGTCCAGCAGCAGCATGAAGGGCCGGATGAACAGCGCTCTGGGGGGCAGACGAGGAGGGTGAGGAGGGGCTCCCCACCCAGCACACAGCCACTCCCAGAGCTCCATGACCCCTGTGCAGCAGCAGCAGCAGCAGCAGCAGCAGCAGCAGCGCAGCGAGGGGGAGCCTGCAGCACAGCTCACCTGGCGAGAGCCACCCGCATCCTCCAGCCGCCGCTGAAGTCCTTCAGCTTCTTCCTCTGCATGGCCGGCGTGAAACCCAATCCGTGCAGGATCCGCGATGCTCGCGCCTCCGCCTTGTCAGCATCCAGCTCCTCCAGCCGCTCGTACAGCTCCATCAGCTTTTCGCACTCCGCTGCCAGGGAGGGGAGACCCGTCAGAGTCTCATCAGTGCTCTGCTGGCCCTCTCCATGCCCCCGCCACGGATGGGGCAGCTTGGAGCCTCAGAGCTCAGCCCACGCACCAAGGCAAGAGCAACTGGGATGGCTCCCCGACACACTGCACTGAGCAGCTACGGAGCCACTAGAGGGGAAGGTGTGCAACCACCCTGCAAGGAAGCCTGGGGCGAGCAAGGAAGGGGCCTGGTTCACAAGCGCTGGAAACTTTACCATCCTCATGAGCCAGCCGCTCTGCCTCCCGCTCCAGCATGGCCCGCTCCGTATCCACCTCCATCACGCACTGCAGGGGGGTCTTCTCACTGGGCGGCATCTCTCGGGTCAGGTGGTAGATGTCAATGTGCTCTGGGATCGGCACCTCCCGCTTCCCAATGGCAGACAGCAGCATGGACTTCCCTGCACGCAGACAAACAAACACCACCCGCCCCTCTCTGTCACTCTCGGCTCCCCTGGCAATAGGCAGCTCCCCAAAGAAGGCCTCGAGCAGGGGCTGCCTCCAGCAAGCCCTGCAGGCCGGAGCCTTCCTGCAGAGCCAGGCAGCCCACAGGCCCTCGCACGCTGCTGCGGCAGGACAAGAGATGAAGAGAAGCCGGGGAGGTCTCCCTAATCCACCCTGCTCCCAAAAAGAACCGATCCCAGTGAAATATTTCCCATTGAGCTCCTCGTTGCCCTAGAGGCTTCCCCGGCAGCAGCCAGGCTCTGCCGCCCCACTCCCAGCTCCCTGGCTCCAGCTGCACCCACCACCACAGGTTTCTGGATCAGTTGTGCTGGCCCCCCGGCCCCTCCCCAGCAGCCCTGTCGGGGGGAGCTGCCCCACAGCAGCCAGGGAAGCTACTCCGCGCCCCCAGTGTTGAGCAAACAGCATGTGCCAAGTCCAGATCCCCTCTGTGGTCTTGTGCCTGGCTGGCGCGTCTGCCAAATGGGCGCTGGGGCCTTCCCCCCTTACAGACACCTGGCGCTACACCGCGCCGCCGACCCCCCTGGCTGCCACGGGGCAGCCGTCCTGCGCCGGCCCTCCCCTCCACCATGCCCTGCCGTGCCACGCCTCACCGATCCCATTGAGCCCGATGAGGCCGTAGCGACGCCCCGAGTTCAGCTCGAGCTTGGTGTCACTCAGCAGCTCCTGGCCGTGAAAGGTGAGCGAGAGGTTGATGATGTGCACGTCGGTGCTGTTGGGGTGGGAGGCGAGCACACCCGTCACCGCACGGGCAGCCGCCTTCTTCAGCTCAAAGTCCTCCAGCTCCTTAGTCAGGGCGTCCACCTCTGCGCGCAGGGAACGGGACAGCAAACAGGTGCTGAGTCAGGGCCCCGCAGCCGCCCCCACCCTGGGACGCGAGCTCGGGAGCCGCTCCCTCCGTGCCGCCAAGCCGGGCCCTGCCAGGGCGGGGAGCCCCCCCTGCCGGCCGCTCGCGGGAGGGCCGGGTCAGCCGGGGAAGCGTGGGTGAGAGGAGGGCGCGAGGGGGAGGGGACGGGGGGTGGCACTGTCCTCGCGCTCCCCCCGCCACAGCCG